CGTGTAGCTCGAGGACACGATATTGTCCGGTGTTTTGAGTGGCACCGCGGGGGTCCATCTTTTAAAGCGGACTTCCGTTGCGTTCATGCGGACGAACCTGAAAGCTCCTTCGAACGTATCTATCTATCGGCGCGATGTGCGCAAACGGGAGTGTCGGCGATTTTAAAACCGATTCTTTTCGGATTCGGCAAGTCTTTTTGGCGAAGGTTATCGCGAATTGCGGCGGACAAGACTGGATTTGACAAACGCGAATCGAGACGAGTATATAAATGAGCAACGAGGGCGGCTCTGGAACGCGATATGCGTTTTTTCGCCGAAATGTTCATCGCGAGGTTATCGAGCGACACTCATCGATATGGCGGCAAATTTTGCGGGACGAGGTATGTGTGTTCGATAGATTCGGCGAGTAATATATTCGTACTTTGCAACTGCATTTTTATTTACATTTCCTGTAACGAAAATGACATAAGCGTAATAGATAATAATATATTGAAGCGCAATAATTTAATGATATATTATTGATAATATTACACAGATTCTAGAAGGAAGAGGAGAGAGCGCGGTTGGAAAGAATATATGTAGCGTTATTCGTAATGGTGTGTACTTTTCTATTTTTGTACTTTTTATTTTCTTTTATCACCACAAACACAAAGTGCTACGTTTGTATTATTTTATCGTTTCAAAGTAAGATACATATAAGATGCGAATATATCTAATAAGAATTTTTGCAAATATTACATATCTCGAATACGATAAACGCTAAATTTCTATCTTTTTTCAATTTTTTATTACATTATTTATTTTTTGCAAATGTCGATTTTTTGCAGCGTTCTTGATTATTAAATTTTAATGCTAAATATCTCTATATAACTAAGCTTTCTTTTTGTATGTATAATTCTCTTAAAGAGTAATAGCAAATTAGAAACAAAGAATAAAATTTTGCTATATCTTCAACTTTTCCACTTAATTTTTACAATAAAAAATAAACAAATTAAAAAAAAAAATTAATTTTAAAATGAATAAAATATATAATATAATATATAATATGATTTTGTAAATTTTAATTAAAAAACTTTTTTTTTTTAATTTGTAATTTGAGAAGATATGCTTTTTGATGTTTTTTTCGTAAATATTTTTATTTCAGGTTTAAGTAAACAATTTGTTTACAAACTATCTGCGTTTTATACTGAAAATCATTCTTGCATTAGTTCCTTTTTTATGATTTCTTTGCTGTCGTTATAATTTGTTCAAATTAACCGACTTGCGTAAAAAGAAAAAAAATTTGCTTCTACGTCAGGTTCCACTTCTCGCTGATCTTTTGTCGATCCCCCGAGTTACAAGTACCGATATTATCAGCTAATTGTAAAAACGCATGCCAAGCGCATTAGTCGCCGTAAATAGAAGCGAGTTTGGTTGCGTTCAGGTTGCGTGCAATGACCGTGAACGCCGATTATTAATCTCATGATTTAATACCTTCACGCATGAGCGTGCGTAAGCATATTGTTGATTCCATGTCCTTTTATTCAGGGGTTAGTTAACGCCAATTTCGTTCGACGTATCACCTTGTTGATTCCATTCGGGTATTCGCAGACATAAATCTGTGATGATGCAAATCCAACATTCCTTTCGTAATGCAGGATATAAATCAGGGTAATAGCGCGATAACATTTTCCGCTGATACTAATTGATGGCTGCCGTTTTTTATTGCTATTTATACCTTGATATGTATTATATAAGCAGTTAGAATTTTTATAATTTTATGTAATGTAGCAAAGAAACAAAGAGAGAGAGAGAGAGAGAGAGAGAGTGGGAGAGAGAGGGAGGGGGAGAGAGTATTTGAATATCTATTAGGAATTTTTTCAATTAAAGAAGTCTATTTATGTTTTAAACAATCTCAATAATTAAATTTTTATCATTTTTATTAGTTTTTTTAATATTTTTGTAATTTTATAGCAAAAAATACCAATATTTTTTGCATTATTATATAGCGAATAAAGCATAAAGTTTTAACGAAGTAGAAGTTTCTTCGAGCAAGTTAGAGAAGATTAATCGATTAAATTCTCTGCCGCGTTTATCCAATTAGCATTGAAACTCGTCATTTCTTGATCGCTCAAATAATACGTTTTCGTCGCATAAATCGCCTTATATGTAATTTTTGTCATTTTGTTCTTACATAATTATAACTGATTCGTCGAGAAAGTCCGAGATCATGAGAAATGAAACCGAAAGTTAGTCCCGTGTCGAAAAATAAAGAGAGACGGAACGCGCGATAAACGCAGAATCGATACAATCGTGAAGGACAATCGTGTTCATGCTAATGAATTTTTTTTACTCTCCATCGATGGTAATCGTCGTTATATGCGTATATTATGCGTATTGCGATATTGCGTACACCTTTATTAAGTCGTTTGGCCAAGCCACACCTGTGTGGAATCAGAAACGATCTTTAAAGTTCGATGTTTTTATACCCATTACCTGAATTCCGCAAATTGATTGCACGAAGGAAAAAAAAAGAGAAGTATTTGATTTCAAGCTTGATCATCATGGCAATGTCTTTTTGCTATAATTATCTCTCTTCTTATAACTTATATTTTTCTTTATTTACGTCTTCTGTTATTTTCTTACATCACTTTTGCTTACATTGTATAGCAAAAATGTTTATTATTTTTATATGTAATTAAAATATAAAATAGTTTTATTTTTTTCTGCGATATTTTGACTTGATAGAATTGAGTAATTTAGAGAATTATCTCTGTCAACAATCGTAAAATTATCTTCTTACATAATACAAAATTGAATAAAATTTTTCTAGAGAGAGTTACGATTTTTACATTATCTGAACGATAGAAAATATTACATAACAGATAAGATAACAAACAAATAACATTCATAATCAATATCATAATATATCGAAACGAAGCTATTATTTTTTTCATACATAAAATAATCTTATTTTATACATACAGTGATTCGATTCGGCAGAGAATCGAGTAATTGAATTACACTTTTATCGAGAGAATATCCTTTTACATTATGCAAAAATATCACCATCGCGATCTAAATACTATTTGCAATCACATTCGCAAACAATGCGCAGCCGGCATTTTTTAATTTATCGCGACGTCGGGATCGCGAAGAAATTTCTCGGCGTAATTGCGTTCGCCGTTTCTTAATTGACTTTTTTTTATCGACTTTAATCGGGTTGCACAATGTCGTGCTCACCATCACACGGATATTGCGCGCGCACGCACGCACGCACCCACAAAATTTGCATAAAGGATATCATGTTCCACGGCCGGAATAATCTGGCCCACGGCCCGCATAATCCCGCCGACTTTCTGGCGGCCGTCGTACACGATTGCGCTTTGTAACAGCTTTGATATGCAAAACCGTGTTTTCGATCGGTCCCGCGCGCAGATAATTCTTCCATTTAAAACTTCTTTCAGACAATCTCTGCCTGCTCGGCCGGCTGCTCGCCGGCTTTTATTCCGCCGTCATCATATCATATTGAGACAAGGTTAGCTATTACTTAACCCTCTTTCGGTATCGAGACTTTACTTATAAAGAGAAGAAATTTAAATTTTTTATAAGTTGTATTCCTTCTTTAGGTAGATTGCGAAATTTAGAATGTTCTTGAAGCCGTTGAAAAGGATAGCTGGGAAAATTTACGCGTAATTTTATATGTATTTGTTATATATTAAATTAAATAATTATCTATTTTTCTATTTATAATATCCACTCATTAAGTTGATCGATTTTTTGAAATACAATTATGTAAATGCTCTGAGAAAGCAATTGGAAAATGAAAAAACGAGTATATTAACGAGTTCTTTTTCTAACAAAAGGGACATCGCAATTTGTATGTATCTCATTTCTTTACTTGTTATTTCGGTCAAACAGTCAGACAGGTGATTCTGTATAATTTGAAGGATAATTCAAACCATGAGAGAGCACAAATTAAGAACAGATTTATATTAAGTATACGTTTCGTTTCACGGAGACGCGCGACGCGTGTGAGAAGACCGAAAGAAAATCGAAAGTACGGCGTAGTCGGGTGCGCGAAGTGGCGCCAGCTGAACTTCAGAGATTGAAGGAAGATCCAACTGGACGAGGGCCCACGTGTTACGTGATTCTGGCAAATTGCTCGTATCTGCTTAATTAATGGGAAAACGTATCGGGCGTCTTTCGCACAGGTGCGCTCGCGCGCCGGGCAGATGCGCGATGCGTCTGGGATTTTTTCATTTACTTCTGCCATTTAAACGCGTCGTGTGTGATTATGGCAAAGCGAAAATCTGGGTCGGAGAAACTTGGACCGCTCTCGTTTTCGTCCTTCTCTTTTTTTCCTTCCCACGGTTTTTTTCCTCTCCTTTTCAGTTTTTATCTTTGTGCAGCTTGGGCGCGCGAAACATCTGGAACGTCGATAAATGAATGATCTCTGATATTACAGATGCGCGATCGAGAGTATTTTCTTTTCCGAGGAATCATGCAAATCGAGAGCCATTTAACATAACGCGTGATTAATGAAATCAACGTCGCGAGAAAAATCACATATCGCGATATAAACATTCTTAGAACGTATCGTAGCGGAGAATCATAGAAAGTTATGATACTTATCGCTTTTACCTTTGAATGTTTATGAATTAATTGTAAGAAAAAAATTAAAAGTAAATTGTATCCGCATAAGTAAATGTTGAAAAATCTTTTCTAGTTATACCTCATACATCGCATATTTCTATTCAACGGAAAGTGAAAAGTGAATATATGATAAATAGTTGTAGATATTCTAGAGGAATTTTATGTTCGAGCATATCGAGGCATGGATCCTTTCGTAGATCGGCGATAGAGAAACCTATTATTTCGTCGTGCCAGTAATGAGCACCGCGGGCTCTCCTCACGTTTTACCCTATCTGATTACGAATGGTCATCATAAATTAAATCCAATTGGGCACCGAAGGACAACTACCACCCGACATCGATTATTATCGCGCACGGCAATAAGCGTGTTCGTTACTCTGATAGCCAAATGTCGTGAAATGTGTAACAATCTTTTTTTAACAGTATTATATTTGGGCTGCGAGATATGGCTTGTCCCCCCACAGTGTTTCACCTTCGAAGATCTAGCCGATGGCATCGTGTGTAAGCGCTTTAAATTTGATCTGCTCTTTGTAATCCGTTGCGACACGGTAGCACAGTAATCGTTCGTCATAATAAACTCAGAGGCATGGTAGTTTATGTAACTATATAGAGAATTCGTCACTCACTGCGAAAGATTAATGGATCGGACTTCTTGCGTCCAGGAGATTCGCGGAGAAGTAAGGCTATCTGATATAAGAAATTTCTCGTCCTCCTTGATTTGTGCCACGGGGGATTTTAAATAACA